GTGTGTATGTGTGTGTGTGTGTGGGGGGGGGGGGGGCGGACGGCGCATGGAGTGCAGAGTCTGGGACGGGGCGTTGGCAGCAACAGGAGCGTGCGGGGGGCGCGGACAAAAAAGGGCAGCGGGGCGGGCTGCCGGCGAGCCGCGGGCGCGCCGGCGTGGCACGCGCGGGCTCCGCGCTCAGCGGCCGCCGCGCTCGCGCGCTTGCGCTTGCGCCATCATCCCGTCCGCCCGCCGCCGCCGCCGGCCGGTGTCCCATATCATCCCCCTCTCAACTCCCCCACTACCCCACCAGCAGCAGGAAGTGGCGCAGCTGGTGCATCTGCGCCGACGACAGCGCCGGCAGCACCCTCTTGATGACGTCACCCTCCGTCAGCGCCAGCGGGTCCGCGCCCGCCGCCGCGGGCGCCGCCTGGTGCGCCCACAGCTGCAGCGCCAGCAGCAGGGCGCCGCGCAGCAGACCGTTGTCCTTGAGCGTGAGCAGGGCGGCGCGCGCGTCGGCGGCGATGGCGGCGTCGTCGACCTCGCCGCGGCGGCCTTTGGGAGTGTGTGTGTGTGTGTGTGTGTGTGTGTGTGTGTGTGTGCATGGGTACGAGACATGACAGAGAGGGAGAGATATTGCCGCGGCGGCCTTTAGGAGTGTGTGTGAGAGTGTGTGTTGGTGTGTGTGTGTGTGTGTGTGCGTGTGTGTGTGTGTGTGTGTGTGTGTGTGGGCGCATGTGCATATGCCCTTCAAGACAAGCGTGTGCGCGCGGAATCACGGGATGACGGGCAAAGCTCCTCAGCTGGCCGATGTGCGAGATGCGCGCGCGTGCCCGTCAGCCCGCACGCACCCACCTTCCGGTAAGCCCCAAAACAGCCGCCTCAGCAGCGCGCCACCGGCCTGCGCGGCGGGGCGGCGCAGAGGTGCGCGAGTCGCACGGCGCGGCGCAGCCACGAGCGGGGGCAGTGGGGGCCGCGCGCAATGCAGGGAACGGGCACACGGCCCACACCCTCGTCCGGCCCTGCCCGCGCTGCCGCTGCGCCAGCCCCCGGCGCGGCGGGAGGGCAGGAGCGCGCGCGCCGCGCGGCGCAGCAGCCAGGGGGACGCGGCCGCGGGCGGCGACCGCCCAACCCACGGGAACGAGCGCGCCTCCCAACCCCCAGCCCTGCCCGCGCCGCCGGCGCGCCGGCCGAGGGCCGGGCGCGCGGGGGCGCCGCCGCC